TATTCTGTGGCAGTGTGAAGGAAACAGAACAGGATTTACATTTAAATATTAGGAATGAACACGTGTAAATAATTCACCATGGAAAAATACCAAAAATAATGTTCAATTAGTGATAATAAAAAAAAACAGCAATGATTTCCTCCAATCACAACGCCTGAAAAGCCACAGAGAGTGAAGGAGGAAGTCTCATGTGAGGATGGAGCAGGAAGGAAAACACAAGGACTTTTCCAAATGCAACTTAATTCTTGAGCGTTCATTCAAAGCGGACACACACACACACACACACACACACGCAGGCACTCTGTGGCTTTTATAATCATTGAGAGGACGTCGGCTGCTGCAGATGCCGCGGCCCGCTACTCTGCTCTTTATGGCGCTCTCGCCGTCACATACAGGTCTTCATTAGGAGTCGGCTGCAGAGACTAGCTGAGGGGCTTTTGTTGGCGTGAATCACGCTGCTTTATGTGTTCTCCGCACCACTAATATGCCACTATGTCAGATGGAGTCTGCTTTAGTGCCAGCCTTTGTGGGAGTAAATTGGTGGCGAATAGGACAGCGAGGCACTTTAACAGCACTCACCTTCCCCTCACCCCTTTTAACTTATTAACTTATATTAACTCATTTTAACCTGTCAACAGGCCCCGATCTCCAACACAAATAAATCACACTCAACACACGGTGGAGAAAGGTGTGTGTGTGTGTGTGTGTGATGTGTTTACATCTGTGGGAACACACACACACACACACACAGGCTTTTACCTCCCAGTCACTATTAATGAAGCCGATCTCCATTTTGTCTGTGTGATCACTTTTTAATGCACTTGAGTGGTTTTTAAAGTGCAATCAAACGTTAATTAAAGGCTGTTGGGGTTGGAGGTTTTTTTTATCCCCCTCTTTCCCAACTGACCATAAATGCTCAGTGTTTTTCTTTGTGGATGCTTTCACTACAACACACACACACACACACGTTGGTTAGATGCACCTGCAGGATGGCCCTCAGGGGAACAGCGGCTGCTTCTGAAAGGACACAGAAATGGAAGGTAAACAATAATGAAAGCGCAGCCTTTCAAAGTATTTGCAGTAATTAGATTTTTCTTGCTCTCCGAGTGACAGAGAGTACTGCAGTGCAGAAAAGCACAGAGCCACAGCGGACCCTCAAACATTTAACATCTGAAGTCGGAGCTTCAGGAAGGAAAGTTTTGGATTAGTAATAAAAACAAACGTAAAATTGTCTGATAAAAAAAAGACCTGACCTGAGTTCTTAAAACGTTGTCATAAACTGTATAACCATTATGATCACTTTAAATAGATTTAATAGAAAGGTTTATTGTTGTACAGTAGGATTCAGTTGGAGATTGGATTTAAAGAGTCAAATTTAGTGTAAATGGACATGAACTAAAAAATGCAAACGCAGAATAAAAACCACCGGGAAAAAAAAAAGAAAAACAAGGAGAAAAATGAAAGGAATAAGAAGAACTACAACAGGAAGAATGAAAAAAAAAGAGTCAAAAAAAATTGATGAACGGAAAGGAGAAAAATGAAAGGAATAAGAAGAACTACAACAGGAAGAACAAAAAAAACAGACAAGATAAAAAAAAAAGAAAGAAATGTGATGAACGGAAAGGAGAAAAAAAAAGGGCAAAAAGGAAGGACAGCCAAAAGATGTCTGACAGGAAGAAGTCCAGCTTCTCCCCTGGACCACAGAGAAAATAAATGAAAAGAAGTGAAAAATCAGATCAGCAGAAGTCCAACATAACTGTCGTCCACTGATGGAGGACTCAGTGGACACGTGTCCTCACAACAGAGCACGCTCAGAAGAAGCCTTGATCAAATGTCCAAAAGAAAATATAATTTCAATCCAGGAGGCCGAGGAAAAACATCCATTTAAGGTAATAACCACGGTGGCTGTTCCCATAGTTCTACTGCTGCGAGACAACACTCATTTCACCCAGTGACGTGAAGGCAGCAGGGCAAAGGCAAAAAAGAGCCCAGTGCTCCATGTGGTTCAGGAACCACAGGTTGGAGACCGCTGACCTACAGTGACCTGAGGTCAACGTGTGCACCTGACCTTCAGCTAAAGAGGAGACGAACCAAAGTCAACTGGTTGCAAATACAAACACTTATACATGTAAAAAAATTATACTTTTGAGCCAACAGGGTGTCACAGTAGCTGCTCCTATTGGGCAGTGCAACTGTCAATCAAACACAACATTGACTCACATTACATGAATATATTTTTTGTAGTCAAAAATGAATTACAGGAAAATTAGAAAAAATGTTGTGTTTAATTCTGAATTTTAATTTTAAATGATAAATTCTATCCTAAATATTTTGAGATTAACATCTAAAATACAGTGTGTAAAATGTGTAAAAGGTTTATATCTTTACTAAGTCAAATTTTCAAAAAATAAAAAAACAATCACGACTGAGATGACTGTTTTATTAGGACTAAAGAAATGAAACATAGGGATTTTCTTTTTTATTATTAGTCAGTTGAGAGAAGAGAAACAAAAAATGGCTAACTCCATCATTTCCTGTTGTTTATTCAAACCTCTTCCCCACTCACTGCTCTTTTCTTCTGTTTATGCAGATGATTAATTAAAATAATTACAACATGGAAAACAGTGCAGTGTTTTCACATTAAATAGGGCAAACGAATTGAGTGGTGGTTTTTCACCAGCGGCAGTGTTTAATAAAACAAACCGAGTCTGAGGAATGAAAGGAAACCTACGTATTTGATCAAAGTTTATAGATAAAAAACGTAACTTGGATGAAGACAAGAAGAAAAAAATTATTTAATTTGTTCTGAAAATATTTTTTTATCTTATGAATTTTTGATTCTTTTTAAATTGAACTGTAGGCGTCTAATAGCTGAATACGTTGGTAATGAAATGTTCTAGCTAAGCTAAGCTAAAATAAGCTTAGCTAAGCTAAGCTAAAATAAGCTAGCTGGTTGAGTTGAGATTAAACCATTTGTTTCCACACAGGGGGAAGTTGCAGCAACAAAAACAACGAGGAATAAAACAACTAAAAAAAAAACCCTGAAGTGTATAGTGTCATGGTGGAATAGCCAAAAAAAAATCAAATGTTCTTATTATAAATATTTATAAAAGAAAACTGCAAAAATAAAGTGATTGGTGGTCAGAATGAGGTACTACAGGAAAATGAGTTATTGGATCCACTGCAGTTAAACTCAGCATGGACATTTAACCAATGTTATTTGTCTAAAACTCGGTCATAAAATGTATTGCTGCTTTAGGGTTAGCTGCTAATGTAGCAAATTGCTACGACTGAAAAAGGCTGTTGTTAACTTCTTCAAACTGGTCATGTCTGGCTGTGTGACGGTGTTATACGAGGTTTGTCATTATGAACCACTTCCCTGCGTCTCCTCCACCATTTAACTAAAATGTGGAGTGTGGAGCTTCCTTGGTTCACTGTAAAGTCGTTCCAAGCTAACAACACGTTAGCGTGGCTCTGAGCCTCCTCACTCCACAAATGTGACAAATGATGGGCTGCATACCTGTAAATACATGTGCTGACCGACCAGTCAGAACCGGTCATGATGAAAACTGGACTATTCTGAAGAAGTACAGAGTGTTTCTTTGTAGGAGAGAGAGTTTAAACGACATCACAACTTTAAAAACATTAGATTATCTGTAGTTGTGTTTAGAAAGAACCTCCAGAACGGCGTAAACATGTCTGGACATTTATTAAGGTCCTCAGTGTGTGTGTGTGTGTGTGTGTGTGTCGGCCAGGACTGACACAGCACTCACGGTTGTGTGTGTGTGTGTGTGTGTAGGAACAGCTGGCTGAGGGAATGAGTACAGAGGGAGAGGTGATGGATGTGAGCGGAGCTCCTGTGACAGATGAGCTAACAGGTGTTCACCACAGCTCTCACTCAGACGCTATTTATGAGCCAGAGAAGACAGCCAGACGCAGAGCAACACAACGGCAACACTGTCACGGCAGCCTGCAGCACAGCAGCACACAGCTGAAGTGGAGAGGCTTCAGTCATCACTCTGCTCACACGGAATCCTCCCGCATCCTCCGGAGTATTACTGCAGTAGTATACACAGATACCGCCCGCTGTATTCCACCTTAACATCGGGACTATCACGATCACAGCTGCCACGGTTTAAGCCACACTGTTGTCCAGTGTGTGCATGTATATATGTATATGTATATGTATATATATATATACAGAGAGAGAGAGAGAGCAATTTTGTATGTTGAGTAAACTCTTCCAAATTACATACAGTACAGTAGAGTATAGTACAGAACTGTACTGTACTTTAAGAACTGTATGTGACTTTTGTCACACACTCACACACACACCATGGTTTAGCAGCATTTGATTTTCTTCTTGACATCATCATCATCATCATCAGACCAATACTGATGGGGGAAACAATCGTGATTTTTTCTTTCGGTTTTATTTATTATTTATTGAAAATAATAAATAAAAGTGTATTCATCTAACACTCCACTGGAGATCACTTAAGTTTTTAAAAATGTTAGATTTTTTCCCCCTACAAATAGTACATGTTTTCTGTTAAATAGTTTGACAATTTGAACAGATTTGAAAGTAGTGCTCTGTGAATCCAATAATTCCATCACCCTCCACTAACTGTTGCTCTAATGCAGTGTTTCCCAAACTGTTTTTCTGGGGACCCATATTTTAAAAGTCACAAACCTTCGTGACCCAAGTCAACAGACATTATTCATAAACTCCTGGGAAACATGATGCAAGACGACCTCTTGCGACCCACCTGAGGGTCGTGCCCCAGACTTTGGGAAACAATGTTCTAATACAAGGTCAATACACATGTTGTTTGGTGAAACAAAAACCTGTTTTTTGTTTCACCAAAGCATCTCAAGCCTAAACGATCACCTCAACAGCCAGCGTGTGTTTGTGGAGGCCGGCCTCCCTCGTCACCAACACGTGCTTGGGTCAAACCATTGATGCTAGCACCTGGAAGTACGACACAAAAAAGTGTTAATTTAATAAGTTCATTTTTCATTTTATTCAGCAGAAGCAATGCAGATAAAAAATACCTGATCGATTTAGGGCTATGGTTTTCTTGCTTGGTGTTCTAACAATATTTTCATGTAGAAGGCACAAATGTGAAGTACAGAGAGTCCAACAGAAATGTAGAACTAAACCTGGCAAAGGGACGAGCTGCTGTTATTAAAGCTACAGTTTACGTCAGTATTCAGGTGGAGTTGAAATGGCTCTGATCTTCTGTTTTTCTTGGCAACAACAGTGTTCATCCAATCAAGGATCGTTGCTTGAAATGTCTCGGTCCCAGTTGGCTGTCGTAGCTCTGCAGAAGAAACTCAATGGCAGCGAAAACAATGGGAGGTCATTTATGATTAGGGTGATTAGGATGAGGTCCAACGAACAGAACCACGAACCACATATTGGCAGTTTGGATTATTTCTTTCATTTCTAACCACACTAAGTTTGTGTGTGTTTTGATGGCACTCGTCACTTAATTTAGGAGTAACAATCAGGGTCCAGGACTATTCTTAAGTTCAAGCTTGGAGATTTTCAGTCAGTCAACTTTTAAAGTTTTTACTTTTATTTTTTGCCAAACCAAGATATTAAAACAATTTAAAAAGTGTCGCTCCCTTTAACCGTCACTCTAAGAACCTGATGTGAGTGGAGCGTTTGGCTGCAGGACTCTACGACTGGGCAAGGGCGTGTGTGAGGTCACGGAGCAACATGGAGGCCATGACACTCTTCTCAGTGTTGATGGTGAGAAGGCCACAGGAAGTCTCCTTCATCTCCACCGACAGTAAGACCAGGGCCCCACTGCTGACTGTCCGACCAGCAAACCTGGAGAAGAATCAGACGTTATTAAACCCCCCGGACAGAGCGCACTTCATCAGTACTCAATACTGCAGTAATATTTGAACTACCATATACAAACAATTCAGAGTAAAACCACAAAGCCGATGGAGACTTTGGTGAGTCACTCTCTTCAATCTAAATAAAAATAAACAGATAAGTTCCTCCACCATTTTTCCATCGGTTCATGAATGTTGCCGTCCACACCTGGTCCCCACCCCATGTTGGACCACAGGCTAGTTTCAAGTTCAATTTTGCATGTTGGACCACAGGCTAGTTTCAAGTCCAATTTTTTCAAGTTCAAACAGTGGCAAAAAAAAAAAAACACAACAAAATAAAGTCATTTGTCAGATATTAACACAAACATGAAGGGCATAAAAGTAAAACTCACCTCAACGCTGAACATCTATTATGTAGAGAAGACTAAGAAACTGAACTGACAAGAAAAGTTGAAGTAGGACAGTGGATGCAGTTTTCTTTTGATTTTTTTTAAAATCTAGTCTCACCAGAGACTTTTATTTTGAAAAGTGTCATGACATACATATTGGATAAAGAATTATTTTTTTGATTCATTTGTCATTTCTTATGTTAAAAAACCTTACACTTAGCATTCCCATTTTTAATCAATTTTTTTTAAAATTTAATTCTAATTTTTTTTTTTTTGGTCTGTCACCAAATGACCAGTGACCCAGTACTGGTCTGGGGCTCATTGGTTCAGGACCTTTGGCCTACACACAGCTTTCATCAACAAGTTTTAACTGATTTTTTTTTCAACCAAAGCTTTAATTCTCCAATTTCTTCTGATAATATTTCTCTAACAGTTGATGAATTTTTAATTGTGATAATTTTCGTTCAAATCCTCCAGGTCTGAGACTCTTAATTAAGAAGGTCTTTATATCTAGAAATAGATCTGTAATCACAACTACCATCCTCTCTGTTTAAGACATAAAAGTAAAAAACTCATCCAATAGAAATTACATTTTCATTTTTAGCATTTTGCTAACGTAGACAGTACAGAAGTGGTGGCAGTTGGTGTCACATACTCAAATCTAAATAATCTCTAAAGGATTTTTTTTAATTCTCCAAACAAGTGGCTGAAACACAACTCACACACTCGGAGTTATTTGCTCTTTGTGAAGAAGGTTTTTCTCCATTAGTCCATAAAAGCACTGTTAATGATTATATAATTCTCAAACAAAGTTGTCTCAACAGACGCACTTGACATCACACACACACACACACTCACAGTGATTCACACATTCTTTAAGCCCTGATGTATAACCAACAGATAAACGCCATTAGCGGCTGCTGCACTTAACTCCCATTAATCAGCGACCGCCATAAATCCTCAGATTAGAAAGTTCAGTAACACCTCACAACTTGTAATTAGCCTGAATTAGCACGTGAGACAAAGAGAAGAGATGGTGTGTCAGGAAATATAGAGAGCGCCGAGCAACAGACAGTCCATTATACAGAGTCAATGAGGGAGGGCCACGCCCCTCAGGCCAGTCAATCAGAACTGAGCCTGTTTTTATGGACTGTGGGTGTCTATTAGAGGGTGGCAGACCAGGGACCAGGACGGGGTGGGGGACTCCATCCCACCAGCTTCTTCCAGGCCATCGGGGGTGCTCTCAGTCCTCCCTGTTTCCTAGGATACCATCCCTGTGGACCAGGGGCAAATCTGGGCGCACATGGTCCCCATTGAGAACGCTAACAAGGGGCAGACAGAGGCTGTGACCCACTGTGACCCTCTTTGAGGGGGACAGGGCTGAGCTGAGCCCTCCTCCCCCGCACTCCTCTGGCCCCGCGCCTCACAGGACTAACTACCAGCCATCTGCCTCCATTTAGCACTACATCCCTGCAACAAAGACCCCCCGTGGCAGCCCGCTTAGGCTTGACAAACAGCCTACAAAGAGCCCCACTTAGGCCTGACTAAGGCTGCTGACGA